TTACTCTAGGTTGTCCAGGTCCATCTTGTTGAAAAGTAGTAGATAATGTAATAGGAGGTATTACCGAACAGTCATTCCATTGTAATGGATCTTGTCCAGCATGAATAGCTTTTGTAGAAAAGCCTTGCTCCATTATTATTCTATTAAGTACATTTCTTTAAATATCTAATACACATTAATTAACAATAATTTTTGATTTTTTTGAATAAAAATAACAATTCAAATATCACTAATATTATTAATATATAATTTGATATAAATTATATTATAATTTATATATTTTTTTTAATTAATATATATAAAACAAAGTATTTTTTTTTAATTAATATATAAAACAAAATATTTTTTACAAATTATAAAAAAAATAAAATTTTATTATTATTATTGAACAAAACAATTATTAATAATTATATTTAAACTAAAATAAAATAATTCTTTTTATAAGCTTCAATTATAAATTTTCAAGAATAATAAAAAAATAATAAATCGATAATAAAAATATAATCAAAAATTTAAAACTTTTAAACTTATTAAAACGGATAAATTTCAGCAGCATGCGCTTTATAAATATAGTCTTTTTAATATAGTCTCAAACAACGTAAATTACTTACTTTTTTTAATTTTACTTTCTTTTAATTATTTTATTAATAGTATAAAATATTCAAATATATATTTATTTGTTCTTAAATATTGCACGTGGCACAGGAGATGGTATAAGAATAAAGGATATTTCACATACTCATCACATGTTATCTGTAAGTATATATACAACACTTAATATACAAATATATTTTATTGAAATCAACTAATTATATAATTATAATAGATTCACATTCTTTTCCATTCCAATTGATTTCTTTCAATCACACAAAATATATATTTATACTATAGAGTTGGAAGAACTTTCTTGGAAAGAATACCGATCTGATAGCTTATTTCTGCTAGAGTCAATATAATTATACAAATAAGAATATTAGTTGAAAATGAATATTAAAAAATTTATAAATCTTTTAGTATTGTATGAATATAAATATAGAAAAAAATCTCTTTATTCTATATCATGATTAGATTTTTAAACACATATACACACGCACGCGGCATACACATACACACATATAGCACAACCTCTTGTTGTATACATATAGTATACATATCGGTAACCGGTAAATTGTCGGTAATTAATAAACTTATTTATTTTTTAAAATTTTTATATACAAATTTTACATATTTCATTATTTTATGATATTAGATTATTAAGATATTGCATATCATTAAAATAATAATCAAATTTAAATATTAAATAATATATATATATAATTTTGAATTTTTTATCGAAGATTTTTTATATTAATGTTTTTTATTAATTTTTTTACTTGGATAATTAATTGTTTTTATTTATCTTAATTAACGATATTGACAATACTTTCACAAAGATTATAATTGTTTTAATTTTCTATTTATAGATCATTATCATCATTTTATTAAAATTTTTTTTTAAATTTAAACATTAAAAGATATAATGTTTATAAATAATTTTTATTTATAAGAATTATATTTTTTTTTCATAAAAGAATGTGTAATAATTTTCGTTTTTTTCTATTAAAAATTATTAAAATTAAAATAGTATTTATTTTTAATAATTATTTGTAATTTAATTAAAATGTTAAAGTAAATGACATATATTATAATATATATTTATAATTTTAAAAACTAACATTGCTAAATTTTTATAAAGAGTGAACATATCGACCAATGCGATGCATTCTCACTATAATTAAATCGATATTTACTCGATTATTCGACGAGCTATCATCTTCTTTGTGAGTGAAGTCTTTTCGTCTAACAAATTATTTTGATTCATACACTAAATACTATCATTGGAAAAAGTAATTTTTCTGAAATGAGAAGAGAGAAAGAAATTATTTCATTATTGTTGTTATTTTTTATAAATCTTGTACGTAGTGATATGTTTTGTAATCTCGTAAATCGAGAAGATCCTTGTATTAATTTGTGCGAAAAAACACCGTTATCTTTTACAAATGTATGTATTATCTTAGCATGTTTTTAATTTGTACATTACAAACATTTATATTAATAATAACGATGATATTTATTAATTGCAGAGTAAATATGTTAAATCATGTTGTCAACGAGGTTGTAGATTCTTTAATTTAGTGGATTTACATTATGGATTAGAACCAAACAATTTAAATGGTACAAGAGATGCTTGTGAAGCTTGTATGTAATGATTATAATAGCATTTAAGTAAAAATTAATTTAAAATGTTCTAATTATTGAACAAATTTATATTATTAAGTTGATCATATAATAATTTATTTAATTTTTTATCATTAATAAAATTATTTCATATTTTAGATATAACATATAATTTAAAAATACTTTTTATAATATAAATAGTTTTTTAAAGAATTTAGAATTGTTAATAAATTTTTAAACAAAATATTTCTTTATTTTGTTATAGCATGTACAGAAGCATATACTGCTCCACAAGATCGATATGCATGTAGTACTGGTTGTGATTTTATGGCTAAGCAACGTGTTTCAAATTTATTGTCACTTTTTTCTGTTGCTGTCTATATAGAAGAAGGTGTAGATTCTAACTTAGTTATAATGTCACCTGATATACCTGAAAATGATATTTTAAGTGATCCAGGTTTGCGAAAGGAACTTCTTCCAGGATGGTGGGATTTTAATGGATTTAAATTACCACAAACATACATTAAAACTGTTCCATTAGATGCTGGGGTAAGTTTTTGATTATATATGATGGAATATAAATTTAAAATTGCCAAAGTTTGATTATTGATTTTATTATTGATTAAAAAATAATTTTAGATATATAAAAATTTTATTAATTTTTTAAATTTTTAAATGAATTTTATTTTAATTGTGAGGTATTAATAAAATTTCATGTAAAATAATAATATATTTATTATTTAAATTATATTATATAATTATATTATATAACTCTGATTGATTGTAATATTATGGAAATATAGACAGTGGATTATGGAGTACCATCAGACTACTCTGGAGAAAGTGACCAATCAGCTTCAATACCTGGATCTGATTGGCTTCAATGTGCTTCAAAACATATTGGATTACCACATTGGCTTTTAGCCTCTGCTATTGCAGCAGCAGCATTGTCTGCATTTTGGTTATGTTTGTATCCAGAAAAACTTACTGATCCTTATAAAGAAATATTAATTGAAAAGTCTGATATTTCTCCAACAGTTGCATTATATGTACCAGAAGCATCATTCCATAAACAGCCTCCTCCAAAATATTTTGATAGTGTTAATTCAGCAGAAAGTAATATGAAAGTCTAGCTAAATATTTATTAACTCTATCTAATTTTTTTAACAATTTTGAGAAATATTTAAATTTCTGTATATTAAAACAGTTTTTAATAAATTCTTTATATTATGTATAATAAGTCTTTATGAATATTGAATAATGATTAAGTAGCAACTGCACATTCAATTTTCAACAAAATTATTCATAAATGAAAGATAAACTTCTAAGAATATATATTAAAATAAATTTAAAATTAATTGAAATTTTAAAACAAAAACAAAAATCAAAATAAATGACAAAATAAATAACAAAATATTTTCTGGAAAAAGTTTATGGTGATATTATGAAGAAATTATTTTGTACAGAATAACATTGTTTTTTATAATAGAAAATAACAGCCTTATTTTTTTTCAATAGATAGAATAATTGAAATCAATACTAAAATAAAATTTGCAAAATAAAAAAATGATGCACATGTATAAGACT